AAAAAGTCAAAAAGCTCTTCACAAACCAAGCTTTTAAGCCCAGGCTAAAATAGCCAAAAAAGCCAAAAAGCCAACCCACTTCCCAAACCAACCCTTACTTTCCTTGAAATTTAATAAAATTACAGAAATCTGCCTTAAAATTTTTAAAATGACTTAAATCTCTCTTGACATTTAGTTTTTAATTGCATTGATCTCCCCTGAGATTTAATGAAATGCAGAAACTTTCCTAAAGTTTCTGAAATGACAGAAATCTCTCTTGAAATTTAATTTTCAATTATACCGACCTCTCCTAAGATTTAATCAAATTACAAAAATATTTCCTAAGATTTTGAAATGATAGAAACCTCCCTTGAGTAATTTTTTTTTTATTGATTCCCTTTTTTGTTACTTTATCATGAATAACTAATAGAAAATATTAACATCTTTAAATAATTTAATTACATTTTTAATTTACCATTTTAAATTGTATCCAATTACAAATAAGTAAAAAATACAATTTATATTTTGTCTCTTTATTATGCCTATAATTATTGTTGATTGCATGTGCCTCCTTTATCCAAAATCCTTCAACATCATAAAAAAAATGTTGACATAATCAAATAATTTAATTACATTTTCAATTTTACCCTTTAAAATTGTATCCAATTACAATGAAATAAAATAAAAAATACAATTTCTTGGGGTTTTGGATAAACAAGCATTCATTTTGTTTTATATATATATTTTTGTAATTGGACACAATTTTAAAGGGCAAATTAAAAATATAATTAAATTATTTAATGATGTCAATATTTTTTCTATTATTTGTTTATGATTAAGTAATAGAAGAGGAAATCAGTAATAAAAAAATTATGCCTCAAGTGAGGTTTTCGTCATTTCAAAAACTTTAGGAAATGTTTCTGTAATTTGATTAAATAGCGGGGGAGGTTTTTTTGTCAAGAGAGGTTTCTACATTTCATTAAACCTTTGGGGAGGTCAATGCAATTGAAAACTAAATCTCAAGAAATGTTTAAATCATTTCAAAAAGCTCAGGGAGATTTCTACAATTCCATTGAACCTTAAGGGAGGTAAGTGTAATTTATCCTTGATTACATATAGCCCGGAGACGGTGGTGATATCATTACAAATCTTAAATTTGTATAGGAAAAAAAAATTATATATATATATATAATAATAATAAAAATAAATAAAAAATAAAAAACGGAATGAAAGAATGTAAATACCTTTCTCTTGCTTGATTGGGTTATAAAAATGAAAAAAAAAATGAAATTAAAGATTTCCATTGTTTGGTATATTTTTAAAATTTTCGTTTTTATTTTCATTTTTTTATTATGAAAAGTTTTAAAATGTCCATAGTTTTTATTTTGGTGCAAAAATATTTTTTAAAAATTCTGAACAATTTAAATGTGTTTTCTAGAAAGGGTTGCTTTTAGGATTTTAAAAAAAAAAATCAGAAATAATTCGATAAACAAGTTTTAAGAGACTGTTTGGTATTGTTTTTTGTTTTCTTTATTTTCGTTTTCATGTTATCAGGAAAAAAAAAAAACTGTAATACTTAAAAAAACTCATCATTTACATTCTATAAAGTCAATTCAAGAAAGTTTTTATCAATTTTTTTTTAAGAAAGTTTTTATCATTTTTTTTTTTTTTTTGGTATGAATTTTCAAAACTTGAAATCAGAAAGTGAAAATGATACCGAACTGTAAATCTTTCCCTCGCTTGGCCGGATTATCAAAATGAAAATTAAATGAACTCATAATAAATAAAAATGTATAAATAATTTCATTTATTTTCATTTTTATTATATTTTTTAATCAGAAATCTAACATTCAAACATATCGTAAATGTATGGACTGTAGAAGTCAACGAAATTATGTGGAAGACCTGGCCTCACTAAGTTGATGTTGTTGTTGTTGTTAGGGGTGAGCAGCGGATATACCGATCCGTCAAAATCGACCGAACCGAATCGATCATTCAAACATATCATAAATGTTATGGACTGTTGAAGTCAACGAAATTATGTGGAAGACCAGGCCTCACTAAGTTGTTGTTCTAGTTGTTGTTGTTGTTTTTTTTTTCAATAAAAGCAATTTTACATAGTGGATGTTTGGGGTTTATTTATTTATTTTTTATGGTTTTTTAGGAGTTAAAATAATTAAAGTGTTTGAGAAGTTATTAAAAAACTATTTTTTGGCATTAGGTTAATATAGTCAAAAATTCATTATATGTTGTCACATTAATCTCTCTACTATTTTGTATATCTTTTTGTAAAAAATTATAAGATTAATTAAAATAGTCAATTTTCAAATGAGTTGCTGTGATATTTGACTTCTTTTAGCTCATGACAAATAATTTAAAAGACAATTACAATTCAGTGTAATTGTTCAAAAATATTTTCAAATTAATGGTAAAGTTTATAAATATTAATAATTAAAGTTACAAACTTTTTTACTAATCTGTAATATTTTTGTTAAAATCTAAATGATGTGTAATTTCTCCATAATTTAATGACTTTTTTAGGTTACATCATATGTAAGTTATGAAATTTTGTGGTCTTGACATCATTTTTATCTCATAGGCAAATTTTGACATTTTGTGCTCTTGACACTATTTTACTCATACTATCGTTTGGAAAATTGACTTTTTTTAGTTATTTTTTGATTTTTTTGATTATTTTAACCTGCCTAAAATAAATTGTATTTGAAAAGATGATTGACTTTTTTTTATAGTTGATTTGATGAATGTAAAATGATTATAATTTGAAGTGAAAGTGTTGGTTTTTTACTTTTTTTTTTTTTTTTTTAAGTCCACCCGATCAATAATTTCCCATTTTGGGTAATTGGTTAAAAGTAAATTTTTGGCTTTTTAGTTTTTTTTTTTATTATTATTATTATATCATCTCTCTATATTTTTACTCATTTCTTTTTTCAAAAAAATCAACAAAAAATTAAAAAATCAATTTTTAACCTATTTCTTGAAATGGGCCAAAGCTATTATCATTGTTGTTTTTTGTTTTTAGCTATAAACAGAATCATGAAACAGAATTACTCCTCATTCTTCAAGTCAAGATTGCAACAATCTCATTTCATTTATTAGGAAAGGCAACACATCAACTCTGACTTTGCTTACAAAATGATTAAAACAGTCCTTCATATAGTAATTTGCTTACAAAATGATTGAAACAGTCCTTCATGTGGTAATTACTAAATTGATCTGACTAACTATGCATTACCATCATCCTACTTCTAGTAAAACAATCTTGGGGTAAAACATGGCTTCATTAAGATTTAAATAAAGTTTCAATCAGTTTGGGAACTTAGGCCCATCCAGATTTTTCCGGATGGGTGATTGTATGGTAAAAATTAAATTTGTGTAATGTAAAATCTATATGTAGAATAAATTTAAACAACAAGATGATAATTTTAAATAATTTCTAAATAATTAAGTTGGAATTTATAATATTACTTAAATTTAACTTTACCTATGTTAAAAGACCAATAGTTGTACCGTGCAAGAATCATCATCAATCAATACTAACAATTCCCATGCAATCTCAAGTATTCAGAAAAAATGAAGGAAAAAAAAATGTGACTTAAATTAATTCTAATATGAATCACATAACCATACAAGAGGTAAACTTATTAAAATTCTAAATATTTTAGTTACAGTTGCAAAAAAGGAGGCCGTGGTAGTTGAAGCTGAGTGAAGCAGATGATGTCGGAGCGCGCGGAGGATGCAACCGCCGCAACTCTAGTAATCTTTGCAGGATACGTTATTCATGGAAGAAATTTACTGTACAAGTTATTCTTTTGAATCTGAATTTAATGAGTTGTTTGGGATGTCCTAAATAAGTACACTTTTTGTCTTTTTGAACTAAAAAAATTAGAAAAAAAAAGATGCATGTTTGGGTTAATTTTGTCTTTTTACGAAAAAATGTGTAATAAAAAATTATATAAATAAAGTGTATAGTAGAAGAAATTTGATTGGTCGCACGGCTGCCCTGCGGCTGTCTGCACAGAAAATAATTGCCTCATTCAGGGCAAAGTGTTTGGGCAGTGATGGTCGGTCTGTGGGGGCTACTAAGGGTTCCGTTTTGATAATCTGAACCGTTCAATATGTACAACTAGTCGAGTATTATATATTTGTAAACAATTACGTTGATCGAATATCGATAGTTATATGATCGGTTTAGTTTTTTTTCAATAGTTAACTATCACACCATCCATTTTGTTTACACAAAACTGATTTGATCATATAGTTAACGATATCCGATCAATATGATTTTTTACAGACATATATTACTCGACGAGTTCTACATATTGAACAGTTCGAATTATCAAAACGGAACCCTTAGTGGGCCCCTAAGGGCCCAATATTACCATCAAATTTTGTAACTTTACCAATGGAATTTTTTTTTTTGCCCCAATAAAAGCGTATAATGGCCTGGTCTCAATCACAAGGGCGGCTATCACATCCACTTCTAATTTGTATTATAAAAACGTATATAAAATAATTTTTTTAATATTTTTTATTTGTAAATAGTAATATTTTTTTAACTTTTTGTATAATTTTTTTAATTATATGGGAGCTGCCAAACCAGCCCTAAATTTGATCACAAAACTGAATACAATATTACAGGGTGTGAGACCTACTTATTCTAACAATTAGGCCGTGGTCAAAACTAGACACTAACACCGCCTCGTTTAGGGTCGGACCTACTCATTTTGACAAGGGCAACGATTAAGACCAAGTTTGGCAAGTTCATAAAAAATTAAAAAGTCAAAAAGTTATTCAAAAAGTTAAAAAGTTATCACTATTTACCAAAAGTCAAAAATTACGATTGCACAACTCTCAATCCTAGTTTTTCTCTACACACTAATTTATACAATTTTTTAATACACATTTTTCCATAAAAAGTCAAAAAATTAACCCAAACATCCATATTTTTTTCCTCAATTTTTTAATCCAAAAAAACAAAAAATACACTTATTTAAAACACCTCAAATAATCCCTAACTTGACCACAAGCCAGAATGTAACTAGTGGGAGAATTAAAGAAAGGCCGTACAGCCAGACCAACCAGAAGCTTGAAATCTTGAAGTTGAAGGATTCAAAAGTCACCCAGAATTTGGGCAGATTATCTTTCATTATGAAAGTATAACTGAAAAAGAATGCAGACAAGCATAGCAACAGAAATACCCGGGAACGGAATGATATCACAAGCCCAACCATACTCAAAGTAAATGCGACTGTCATGAACATGATGCTGTAGAAAGAATTGGGCAGTCGGTCAGGACACAATATTATATCTCGAACGCTGAAATATTCAGTAGATTCAGAATCAGAGTGGCTCAAATTGAAAATACGTGTATACGTAGAAGCTGCAACTAAGGTCGAGGCTGTCATCAACACATAATAATTTGAGATGCACTTCCTTTTTATGTTTCTTTCTTCATTTTGTTTATTGTTATTCGGAGTATTCAGCAGATTTAAGGAGTTGAATTCCCTCCCATTCTCAGTGTTGTTCACTGGTTGCGGAGCTTCATGTTCCCGTGGAATCTGGGTCAGTGTTTCACTTTCAAGTTTAATTGAACAGAGCTGAAATATCAAAAGAATTTGAGGTTTGTTAATGTTGAGAGAGAGAGAGATGGGTACCTCCATTAGGCTGAGGGAACCTGCACTGTTGGCAACAAGCTCATTTTCAAGATGATCATGATAAGCGATAGGATCGTCCTCGATCGTAGGCTTCACTTGTAAACCAGAGCTCTCCAATACCAATTTCATATTCGTTTGATACTTTTTTTTTCCCCCCTTTTCTTCTTCTTCTTCTTCTTCTTCTTCTTCTTCTTCTTCTCTCTCTCTCTCTCTCTCTCTCTCAAAGGAAGGAGAAGAAGGGTGGACTGAGTAGGAGCTTCGAGGAGGAGAAGATTAATAGACATTTCAATTACTTATCAATTACTGTAACTTTCTTGAAGACATGTATTCCTTTCGGGGGTTCATAGATGGAGTTCACGCAGTTTCAGAGGAAGGAGAGAGCTCATTCGATGGGAATTTCTTAGCACGTAATAGAATGCCGATTGAAAGAGGAGTACATCAATTTTCTTTAATTCACCCGCTTACGTTGTCTTTCGTTCAGAAATTTGGAGAGAAATTTAAAATGAAAAAGAGAAAAAATGTGTAAAATTAAATGAAATATAAGTATATTTTATTTACATTTTTTATTTTTCTTTTCAAATCTCTCATCAAATCCTTTAACTAAATACAGCATTAAGCTATGAACCAGCATTAATGAAAATTTTTTTAACACAATTTTATCCACAATAAAAAAATCATAATAGCCTTATCTTCTTTCATCCAAATCCTAATTGTAAAACACATAGCCATCCTCTATTGATAGCACCATCTCTCACCATTCCCTTCTATCAGCTCTTTCTCCCCTTGCCCGCGATGCTATCATCTTTCGCCATGAATCGTACAATCATACAAGTTCCTCGGCACAAACCACCCATTTTTAAGATTTATTGTGGAGGTCCAAGATGGAAGGGAATGAACTAGGAGTAGCGGTGATGGAGGATGATCGTGACAATAATAGTGGCAAAAGGAGGGATGAGTGGATGAAAATAAAATTTTAAAAAGAAATATTATTGACATAAAGGACATATATATTGAGATTTTCATTTTTTTTAACGTGTATTGAAAAGGTGCTCATCAAATATGTATGCTGAGAGAAATTAATTACTGGTATTTCTTTATTTTTTTAATGTACAAGAAAGATTCATTCATGTTTTGACCCACCACAAGAAAGTTCAAAATGTACAACTTAAATTTGAAATCCGGTAATCTTCTCGTGATTTTTTTATAAACCTAATTTTAGTTGGGTTGGTCTCAATTTTCTATAAAGACCACGTTATAGACTTTTGTTTATATATAGAAATTTGGGTTTGGTTTCCCTTAAATTTTTAAAATTTTGATTTTATAAGTTTTTTTTTTTTCTTTTTTTGGCTGTGAATTTTGCTAATTAGAAACACAGCAAACTCATAAAAGTGACCATAAATTTACCCAAAATTTTAAATCAATGGTATATATTTAATCTTCTTAGACCAAATTAAGAATAAATCTCACCTTTAATTGCATAGTCTAGATGGCTTTCTGGGTTTAGTGATTGGTGTAGGAGAATGGATTATCCGGTAAGAAACAACTAAAAATGCAAATTGACTGCATGGACGCCAATAATATCTTGTAAGAGGAGCTAATTTAAGCCCACTAAATTATAAATTTTAAATCAATGGTATATATTTAATCTTCTTAGACCAAATTAAGAATAAATCTCACCTTTAATTGCATAGTCTAGATAGCTTTCTGGGTTTAGTGATTGGTGTAGGAGAATGGATTATCCGGTAAGAAACAACTAAAATTGCAAATCGACTGCATGGACGCCAATAATATCTTAATTGCAAAAAAATAAATAAATAACTAAAGGACTTAACTATACATAATTACAAAATAAACAAACTTAAAGCGGACATGGAGCCGTTCAGTTCAATGCTGATGAATTTGCTTTAAAAGGCTGATGTTGAATTGGAAACGACCCAACGAATAAAAGTCATTGCTCTGCTATGACCTAAACTGGATTTTATGAAAATTTTGTTGTTTGGGCCTTCGAAATTCGTTTTTTTTTTTTTTTTTTTACCTTCTGTTTTTGGAGATTTTTGGTTTTATTAATAATTTTGTTTACAAATATATATTTTTCAGTAATGATTGAGACCCCCAAAAAACTCAACCCCCATTGGTCTAGGAAAAAAAAAATGATTGGCCCATATCACTTTGGGGGGGATGGGGGTCTCCAAAAATGGAGGTCTCACTCATATTCCTATATTTTTAGAGGAAATTTGGCTGCAAGCCAAATAAGCAACTTATTAGCTTATTTCTATTATATCACCTCTCTATGTTTCTGCATATCTTTTCGTAATAAGCAAAAATAAGTTAAAAATTAGGCCCTACCCAAAGCAATTTTGACATGTTTCTAAGATTTAATACTATCCAAATTTGAGTTATAACTCAAATTAATCCATTTGAGAGTGAAAAGTGTAATTTAACATATAAAATGTTGTCTTTGTGAGATTTTTTGCAAGCCATAGATGGTGGCTAAACTGTAAAGTGAAATCCAAACGTTAGTTCAACTTAATAAAATGCAAATAATAAGAGGCCCATTGCGCAACTTGATAAAATGAAGAAAACTATGGGTTAGTATATGTTGTATTTGGTTGGATGATTTGCGAAACGATTCAGAAAGGGAAATGAAAAAGGTGTGTAAAATTAGGTGAAATATAAATATATTTTATTCACATTTTATCTATATTTTTTCTTTTTTTCTTTTCAAATTTCCTAATAAAATACAGCGTTTAGGAAAAGAAGGAAGAGGGAAAAAGATATAGAAGAGAGAGAGAGAGAGAGAGGAGAATAAACAATTTATTTTTTTATTCTGGGTTTAGAGTTGTGAATTTTCAAATTTTTTTTTACTTGTTTTGCAATAAAGATGTGTACAAATATTATTTCAAAATCTACAGTAGAAAGTATGTCGTGATATTTATTAATTTAAGAGATTTTTTTTAATCTTATCATACTATAACTTGTAATTTAAATAAAAAGACATAATAGTAATTGGGGAAATTGCACTGCAGTGCAACTTTCAAAAAAAAAATTGCAAATCAATGAAAAAGTTTATCAATTTTAATAATTAAATTTTAATTTTTTCATGAATTTGTAAATATTTTGTAGAAATATTATTGATTCACAATTTTCCATAGTAATTTATAATATAAAAAAGAGAAATTTCTCTTTGGTTATGTAGTAGTACTAATTTCAGAATAAAGGCTTTTTTTTTTTTTTAATCATTTGTTTGCATTTTGAAGATATATATAATAATCAAAGGGGCAACCATCCTCTGCAAGAGGACCTGCCAACCAAGACGGAGAATATTATAACTAAAAATCAATTTAGCACCCTAATTGTAAGCTTTTAAAAATAATTTAGGAGTCTTCATATTATTAACTAAATTTCTAAATATATCCAAATTCATAATAATACAATCCTATTCTTTAAGAAGAAAAATATCATGCATCACTTGTTTGTTGTTTATCATCTTTTTTGTATCATCATCTATCTGGATACTTATGGTGGATTTTTTATTTGAAAGTAATCGTTAAAAAAATAATAAAAACAAATAATATAGTGATATATATTTGGTGATATGAAAAGTGAAGAAATAGAAGTGATATATAGCAGTCAATTTTTTTTAAAAAAAAAAAACAAAAAATCACTTCAACACCACCACCATCCATTAGAAACAATGTTCAATACAAGATATTTTTTTTATAAATTGTTTTATTGAGGGAAAAGTAATTATAAATATGAAAAATATTAAATCATCGAATAAATTATTAGTCCATAATAGTTAGAACCTAACAATAATTAATAAGCCCAAGGCTAAACCACTTTATTACTACTTACATACAACTTTTATAATTGGGAGAGAAATAAACACAAACTCTTCTCTACAGGAGGAGAGAAATAAACACTACTACAAATGGTATCAAAGTTCTCTTTATAAGAATTGAACATAAGACCTAATGTCACAAAAGGTGTTACATAACTTAAGTCAAATTTCCTAGTTACAATAAGCAGGTTGATTGAGTTAATTTGTCAAACTCATGCCTAATTGAACCAAACTTGCTTAAATGTATTTATTAAATAAGCAACTAAATTGAGGGTTATTTTGGGAAGTGACTTATAAGTTGATTCTTGGCCTATCATAAAAAAACGTGCAAAAAAATAGAAAAATAATATAACTTAAATAAACTAATAAGTTAGCTTATAAACTTGTTCTCAAATGGGACCTGTGTTGTATTTTTTAAATAAATAACCTGTTTTAATCTGCTCAAATAAACATGTCCATTTATCACCTCTTCTCATAATCAATGTATACCACAAAGGCTCTTCAAATTTTCTTGTTTGCTACATGTCTAGGAAGCCATTAAATCAACGACGGGTTCAAGATTCAAATTTTAGAGAGATAAAAATATATGTAATTTTTTTTTTAAATTATCTTATTAGTTACTAATTTAATATACATAATTGTTACAATTTTTAGAAGTGCGATCGCCCGCCTTCTGATCCATCCTTGCATTAAAGTAGACCAAATTAACCACCTCTTCTTCTTTTTAGGATGACCCGTCAGCAAACGTGCGTTAAGGTGCCATATTTTCCAGGGTGAAACTTCGTGGTACAACACGGTAAAATACACATGAAGCCTCAATTAAGTTGGGATCAAAATTTCGATGAAATTTCGGAGAAGCAAAGCATGGCCACCTAACATTTTGAAGTTCTTTTTTGTTTTTTCACTAGATATATGATTAGAATTATAATAGTTCAAAATAAAAACACAAACAAAAGCCCATAATGGAGAGAAAAAATCAATCTTCACATTCAGAAAGAATTGATCCCTCAGCTAACTGAGCTACATATAGAAATATGATAAATTCTATTCTAAATATTCAATTGTATTTTTGTTGGTTCAACCATTATTAATGCAATTTGTTTTTTTATGCTAATTATTTCTATGGGGATATATTTTCTGAGTACCAACACGTGGCCAAAGGTGACGCCGAAGTGTAAGCCGAGGTGCCACGTGTCCTGGTCGTGACGCCGAGGTGATCTCGGATAGGCCGAGGTTATCTCCGAAGATATCGGAATCCGGGATAAGTGGATAAGGGACAAGAGTCCTAAAATGAGGAAGGACCTCAGTCTGGATAAGGATAAAACT